GTGAGGTTCCCTGAGCGTCACAAACAGGATCATGGCCACCATCTGATCCACTTACCTCTATCATCAACTTGGTCTGTTGTCATTCTTTTATTGTCCCCCACTCAAGTTTCCATCCTCAATGGGTTCGCGTCCTCCATTTGTTCCCCCACCTCTATCATCAACTAGACCTATTCTTAAACTATCCTAATCTTGTTTGCGTTCTCCATGCAGGTCCAAGACCACCCACACCCCTTGAGACAACCTCTGCTGAAGGTTCCCCAACAATATCCTCCACCAGCGCCTATCCCACCTCTACTCCTACCAATGGGTCCCCTAAGACATCCTCTACTACAGGTTTCCCACTGATATCCGAGTCCTCCAACGAAATTTGTTCTACCTACCCTCCGCCCAGCGGAGTCCCCGATTGAATCCCAGCAGTAGCCCCTGCCCCCCTCAAAGCAGAGTCCTAAGGTAACCAATTCTATGTGATCAATCTTCCACAACCCTGTTCACAACCGGTCAGCGGTGCGTTTCCCCCCCCTGAGACACTTCCCGCCCTGAGACATTTTCGTTTTCCTTCATTATCCCGGTCGTTGGTTCGGGCTCGTTTGGTCGTTGGAAGGTTCGAAAAATGCAGGCAGGTGCAGGCATGACACTTTGGGGGGTGGTGGCAGTTTCTTTGAAAAATGTGGGACCGATAGCTACCCGTGGAACCACGCGCTGGGTTTTGGTCAAAACGGTGGCGAAGCAGCGACATGGTAGAACTTTGGCCCAGGCGTTGAGGCCCGTCTTTTCAAAACAGGGAGGTCAGGCGCAATGAAACAGTCGTTTTGCAAGCGGCCACTTTGGCGATTTTATGTAGTCGAAGGAACCCGCAAAAAAATCTACAATTTTAAGAATCCATAGATGAGGTCGTGTTCTTTCTAGGAAAAATATTATAACATTTTGAAAAAATCATTTAGATCGAGAAATAATTGTCGCACCGATTCGACACATTTTCCATTTTTGCCACCCAACCATGTGTGGCCCAACTAAAAAAATACTCAAAATTCAACGAGTTCTCCCGCTCAAAAGAATGCATGAAAAAACCTGAAAATTTGAGTACCCATAGATTTTGTTGTGATCTTTCTAGGAAAAACGTTAAATAAATTAAAAAAAAACATTCCAACTATTAAATAGATCACGACCACAATTTGACCCATATTTCAATTTTGCCATTCAACTCTTTTTTTTTTTCTCTCTCTCTCTCTCTCTCT